CAGCTTCGACTCGTCTAGCTTCGTGGGAAGCTCTTTAGTCTCGTTGTATTCAAAGTGTGGTGTTCTAGAAGGAGCTTATCAAGCTTTCCACGAGACCCCCGTGAAGAATCTCGGGATTTGGAACGCGATGCTCAAGGCCTGTGCGCAACACTCGCACGTTCAACAAGTTATAGAGTTGTTTAAGAAGATGAAACGCTCTGGGATGAAACCAAATTTCATCACTTTTCTGAACGTTTTAAATGCTTGTAGCCACGCGGGTTTGGTCGACGAAGGGAGATACTATTTTGATCTGATGAAAGAAGAATATAGAATCGAGCCGACCGATAAGCATTACGCTTCCTTGGTGGATATGTTGGCACGAGCTGGTAAGCTACAAGAAGCACTAGAAGTCATCAAGAACATGCCTATCGATCCCACGGAATCTGTATGGGGAGCTTTACTAACGGGCTGTACACTCCACAAGAACACAGAGCTTGCGGCATTCGCAGCAGACAAGGTCTTTGAACTAGGACCAGTGAGTTCCGGTATGCACATTTCGCTATCCAATGCGTATGCAGCCGATGGTAGATTCGAAGATGCAGCCAGAGCTAGAAAGTTGCTTCGAGACAGAGGAGAGAAGAAGGAAACAGGGCTGAGTTGGGTTGAAGAAAGGAACAAAGTTCATACGTTTGCAGCTGGAGAGAGACGACATGAGAGGAGCAAGGAGATATATGAGAAGCTGGCTGAGTTAGGGGAAGAGATGGAGAAAGCGGGATACGTTGCAGACACGAGCTTTGTTCTGAGAAAAGTGGATGGAGACGAGAAGAATCAGAGCATAAGGTATCATAGCGAGAGATTGGCAATTGCTTTTGGGCTGATCACGTTTCCGGCTGATAGGGCGATTAGGGTGATTAAGAATCTGCGAGTGTGCGGGGATTGTCATAACGCGATTAAGTTCATGTCCGTATGTACGGGACGAGTGATCATTGTGAGGGATAATAATCGGTTTCATCGGTTCGAAGGTGGCAAGTGTTCTTGTAATGACTATTGGTGAGGAGAATTGGTTTATATTTTAAACATAACGGCTACCTGTTTCTTCTTTTTTGATCATGATTTCTAGGATAAAGTCATAATTGTTTCAAAATACCATCATATCTGGTTGTTAGTAGTTACATAACAAAGCATATATCTGGTAGAGTATTCAATCCAGGAAGAACTGATCTGGTTTGTATCAAACCGGTTTCATCATTTGATATGGGTTGTTTCACTATAACTCGAATTCGACTTATTTAAATTTGAACCAAAATTGAAACCAAACAAAAATGATCCATACGACATTTACGTTTCTTTACAGAAATTGTTAATATTCTGAGGAAAACCGAACTTGAAATACGGATTGAAAACATTTATCTAGAAGGTGTGTTTTGGATCCCGTAATTTAATGGAGCCAGAATGAAATAGAAAACTGCATCATCCACTAACGACACTCGGGTTTGTAAAACCCGGAAACAAAGAAAAAGAACATTCTGGAACATAAAGACACCAGGATGGGGTCTGTCAAGGAAAACGGTTGCTTTCATCAAATGAAGATGATGTGGATGCTAACTGGAACGACGGCGTTTAACGGAACAATCGAGAACCCCCTGGTCTCCTCGAATTCAAAAGAAGGGACTAGAACTTATCTCCCCTCATATAAATACACATTTCGCTCTTCTGCCTCCTTCCCTGTCTGAGATAAAACAAAAAAAAAATCAACAATCTTTCTCTTAAAGTTTTCTCTAGCAATCTCTTTCGATCTATTTTGTAAAAAAGAATCGTTGGCGATGGCGGAAGTTCAGATGGCTGATGCTGAGACCTTTGCCTTCCAGGCTGAGATCAACCAGCTTCTAAGTTTGATCATCAACACTTTCTACAGCAACAAGGAGATTTTCCTCCGTGAGCTCATCAGTAACTCTTCTGATGTACGTCTCTTCCTCTCTTTCTTTATTTTCTTTGCATGTTACTGGATTGATGTAACACTATCAGACGTAGATATTGACTTTATTGAACTTTCCACTACTCTTGTCTCCTGATTATGCTTGTGAATGTTATTAGGCTCTTGACAAGATTCGATTTGAGAGCTTGACCGATAAGAGCAAGCTCGATGGACAGCCTGAGCTCTTCATTAGATTAGTCCCAGACAAGGCCAACAAAACACTCTCTATTATCGACAGTGGCATTGGCATGACCAAAGCAGGTAACGACGCATTCTCCCTCATCCCTCATGCTGTATGCTTTTTACTGAGGCTTCTTCTTGTGCCGTTTGTTTTGACTCTTTTGTTTGTAGATTTGGTGAACAACTTGGGAACAATTGCGAGATCTGGAACCAAGGAGTTTATGGAAGCGCTTCAAGCTGGTGCTGATGTGAGCATGATTGGTCAGTTTGGTGTTGGTTTCTACTCTGCTTACCTTGTTGCTGAGAAGGTTATTGTCACCACCAAGCATAATGATGATGAGCAGTATGTATGGGAGTCTCAAGCTGGTGGTTCCTTCACTGTCACGAGGGGTGTGGATGGGGAATCACTTGGTAGAGGAACTAAGATCACTCTCTTCCTCAAGGAGGATCAGGTAATGAATTGAGTCACTGTTTTGAAAACTTCAGAGTTAATTCTTTTGGTTTATTGTGTGTTGTCTGTCTTCTTAAGAGAGTGGTCATTTGTGCAGCTTGAGTATCTTGAGGAGAGGAGACTCAAGGACCTGGTAAAGAAGCACTCTGAGTTCATCAGTTACCCCATCTACCTCTGGACTGAGAAAACCACTGAGAAGGAGATCAGTGATGATGAGGATGAGGACGAAGCAAATAAAGAAACTGAAGGTGAGGTTGAAGAAGTAGATGAGGAGAAGGAGAAGGAGGGTAAAAAGAAGAAGAAAATTAAGCAAGTCTCTCACGAGTGGGAACTCATCAACAAGCAAAAACCGATCTGGTTGAGGAAGCCAGAAGAGATCAGCAAGGACGAGTATGCTTCCTTCTACAAGAGTCTGACCAATGATTGGGAGGATCATCTCGCCGTAAAGCATTTCTCAGTGGAGGGTCAGCTGGAGTTCAAGGCGATTCTCTTTGTTCCCAAGAGAGCACCGTTCGATCTCTTTGACACCAAAAAGAAGTTGAACAACATCAAGTTGTATGTTAGGAGGGTGTTCATTATGGACAACTGTGAAGAGTTGATCCCAGAGTACCTCAGCTTTGTAAAAGGTGTTGTAGACTCTGATGACTTGCCACTCAACATCTCTCGTGAGACTCTGCAGCAGAATAAGATCCTTAAGGTGATTAGAAAGAACCTGGTAAAGAAGTGCCTTGAGATGTTCAATGACATCGCTGAGAACAAAGAAGACTACAACAAGTTCTATGAGGCTTTCTCCAAGAATCTGAAATTGGGTATCCACGAGGACAGTCAGAACAGGTCAAAGATTGCAGATCTTCTTCGCTACCACTCTACAAAGAGCGGTGATGAGATGACGAGCTTGAAAGATTATGTCACAAGGATGAAGGAAGGTCAGAAAGACATCTTTTACATCACTGGTGAAAGCAAAAAGGCGGTAGAGAATTCTCCGTTTTTGGAGAAGCTTAAGAAGAGAGGTTACGAAGTGCTTTACATGGTGGATGCAATTGATGAGTACGCTGTTGGACAGTTGAAGGAGTACGATGGAAAGAAGCTTGTCTCTGCAACCAAAGAAGGGTTAAAGCTCGAAGATGAGACTGAAGAAGAGAAGAAAAAGAAGGAAGAGAAGAAGAAGTCCTTCGAGAACCTCTGCAAGACGATTAAGGACATTCTCGGTGACAAGGTTGAAAAGGTCGTGGTCTCAGACAGAATCGTTGATTCTCCGTGCTGTCTTGTGACTGGTGAGTATGGTTGGACAGCGAACATGGAGAGGATCATGAAGGCTCAGGCTCTGAGAGATAGCAGCATGAGCGGCTACATGTCTAGCAAGAAGACCATGGAGATCAACCCTGATAATGGAATCATGGAGGAGTTGAGGAAGAGAGCCGAGGTGGACAAGAACGACAAGTCTGTCAAGGATCTGGTGATGCTGCTTTTCGAGACAGCTTTGTTGACCTCTGGATTCAGTCTTGATGAGCCGAACACGTTTGCAGCTAGGATTCACAGGATGTTGAAGCTAGGTCTGAGTATCGATGAGGACGAGAATGTAGAGGAAGATGGTGATATGCCTGCGCTGGAGGAGGATGCTGCTGAAGAGAGCAAAATGGAGGAAGTTGACTAACAGAACGAAGCCTCGCCGGATGTTTTCTCCTTTTGAGTATTAAGAGTCTAAAGTGTCTTTTGTCTTGGTATCTTTCATGGTCGTTTGGTGGGTCGGTTTGTTAAACGTCTTACTTTCTTTTCGTGTCTGGTGCGTCTGTTTGTAGAATCCTTTTTCAAGTGAATAGTAGGTTAAATGGTGCGTCTGTTTGTAGAATCCTTTTTCAAGTGAATAGTCGGCTAAAGGCTAAGTGAGTTGGTTTGTTCTAGCAATCTTCCCTTCTCCCCAAGCTGCAAACAACTGATATTTTAAAGCACCAACACAGCTACACAAGCAAAGCAAAGGTGGGCAGAATTGCTCTGAAGTCCTTAAGATGTGACCAGAAGCATGGTGGGACAAAAATCTTATCAAAGAAGACTTATATGTACAGGGAACGATCAAAAACAAACCAAAGTAAGGCACTTCCAGCAAGATGCTGCTGACAAACAAGTTCAACACAAAGTAGAATGATTGTGTTCATTCCAAGAATAGCACTAATGAATGTATACAATTTGATTTGGTTAAATTAGTGAATTGTATTGTTATCTTATGCTCCACTAGGAGTGAGAAGACGGCGGCGAAATGTAACTTTTTTTTTCTGAATTTCGTTTTTGCTAGGCAACAATAAAACTGAATTCAGATAGAATTATGAAGAATTCTGGAATTTGGATTACAAAAGAAAAATTTAAAGCTGAAACAAGTCCCCTGTGGTCCCTTAATGTCAACTAGAAAACGTTTCTTTTTCAAGGGAGACCTGAACCCATGGTGCAGCTGTGCCGTAACTCCAGCACCACGGCCAAAACCAGGCCTGCCACCACTACCCTGTACAACAACCAAAAAAACAAGCCACAAAAGTGTCAAAACAAGGGCAAACAATTCATGATACGGTAGATGCACAACATGAGCTAGCTAATATATATAGCTAAAAGAATTTAAATGGTTCAATCAACATATATGAAGACGTTGTAACTACAAATGATCAATATCGGATGAGAGAGAAAGGTTAACCGGTGTAGCAGGTTCAAAGTTCTATGCCAAAAATCATCTAAAATACCACATTTTTGTGACTTTTTGTCAAAAAGGAAAAAGAGGATTGAAGAGTTACTTGGAAAGATGGCTGGTAATCAGCTGGAGCTCCACCCTTTTCGCCTTCACCACCACGTGGACATGCACGGTCCCCATATCTGGGACGGTCACCTCCTTCAAAGCGAGGTCCTCTGAAATACCAAGAAGAAACCACAAATTATGATGTCATCAAAAGCTCATTTGCAATGAGTTAAAAGTAAATAAGTTTAATTACCTTGGGCGATCACCACCAAATGGACGACCGATAGGCTTGGCAGACTTCTTCAAAGTAGCATGAACAACATCAAAACGGAAGGTTAAGGTAAGTTCTCAAGAACTCAATCCCATCGTTGGTGAGAAACCAATAGTAGTGCATCCATGCGAATGTCTCCCTAACATACTCCTTTGATTTGAAAGACTGCATGAGCTTGATCACTTGCAGGTTTGGTACTGATTCAATCAAATGATGCTCTGCGAGATTGAAATCCTTCAATCAAACTCCTTCTGCAAAACACATATCATATATGATACATTAACACAAACCCAGATATTCAGACATGTACCTATAATTTGAAAACACTATAGTTTCAGCAGTGGACTTCCTAACTGTATTCAAAGCTTGAATCGGAAACTGAACTACATAAGCTAATTCTTAGATCACAATGTTTTATCATTACGCTAAAAAGGGTTGAAATGACACTAAACACTAAGAATTCGGATCTAATTCGTCAGAAGAGATACGAAACCTTTGAAAAGGTACTTGCAGATTTCTCTGCTGTTTTCCTCTGACATAATCTGAAAGAGGAAGGAAGCTGAAAATGGTTAGAAATTAATCAGACATAATTAACTATGGTGCGAGAAGATCAATAAACCAAATGCAAAACTCATGTGTACCATTGTATCTAGGCCTGGGCAAAAAAACTGAAACATAATAACTGAACTGGAACCAAAATATCCGAAACCGGAACCGAACCGAAACCCTTAAATATCCGAATGGTTCTTATATTTATATATCCAAAATAACCGAATCGAACTGGAACTGAACCAAGAACCGAACGGGTACCAAACTATACAATAATCTTAATTTTATATACATATAACATAACCAAATATATAATTTTAATTTAAAAATATATTAGAAGTATCTAAAATACTTGAAGATAACTAAATAATAATAAGTATCCGAACTACCTGAAAGTATATGGATAATTCTATCCAAATATCCAAAGTAATCCGAAATATCTGAAATTTGTATTTAAATCGTTCTAATTATTTGATATTTAAATTGTCGACATGATAATAGTACTATTCATGAAGAAATAGTGGACATTTATCGTAAATTGCAGGAGGCATAGAAAGATGAAGAGGATTATTGGCAACAAAAGAGTCGGAATTTGTGGAACACGGCTGGGGATCGGAGCACGAAGTTTTACCATGCTTTGACGAAACAACGCGGAACTAGGAATATAATTGTGGGACTTCATGATGAGGAGGGAAACTGGATAACTGAGGAGGCATGAGTGGAAAAGGTCGCGGTGGATTTTTTCACGAATTTATTTGGCACTAGTCATCCCTTAGAGTTTGATGCGTTTCTTGACGAGATTCCTTTGTATATTTTCTCAACAGATGAATCAGAGGCTGCTTAGATTGGCGACAGAAGAGAAGGTGCGAAAAGCTCTACTTATGATGCAACCGAAAAAAGCCCATGGCCCCGATGGAATGACCCCATTATTTTTTCAGCATTCATGGCCTGTTATAAGAAGGAACATATTGGATATGGTGAATTACTTTCTAAGATCGGGCAAGTTGGATCCACGGTTAAATATTACAAATATTTGTTTGATCCCAAAGACGGAGAAACCAACAAGAATGACGGATATGCACTCTATTAGTCTTTGTAATGTTGGGTATAAGATTATTTCGAAGGTTCTTTGTCAATGATTAAAGGTCTTTTTCCCCAAGTTAATATCGGAAACGCAATCGACTTTAGTCCCAGGGAGTTTTATTTCAGATAATATCCTTATTGCTCAGGAAATGTTTCATTGTCTAAGAGCTAATAAATTGTGCCAAAATAATTTTATGGCAATTAAGACAGATATGAGTAAGGCATACAATATGGTTGAATGGGATTTTATTCAGATTTTACTTTGGAAAATGGGGTTTGACCCTCATTGGGTCAAGCTTATGATGGCGTGTAATTCATCTGTGCAATATAGGGTCCTTTTAAATGGAGATCCACGAGGGAACATTACACCGCAAAGAGGGTTAAGTCAGGAGGATCCTCTTTCGCCATACTTGTTTATTGTGTACAGAGGTGCTTATTGCTAATATTAAAAAGGCTGAGAGGAATAAACAACTGACAGGGATTAAGGTTGCTAGAGTGTGCCCACCAATATCACATTTACTTTTTGCAGATGATAGGTTATTTTTCTGGAAAGCATAAAAGGAGGAGTGTCACACTATTCTCTGGATTCTGAAAGAGTATGGGGAGGTGTCTAGACAGGTGATTAATTTTCAAAAGTCCTCTATCCAATTTGTGTTTAAGATCGAGGAAACATTATAACAAGAGATAAGAAACATATTAGACATCCAAGATATAAGAGGGATGGGTTCTTACCTGGGATTGCCGGAAAGCTTGGGAGGCCCAAAGACCCAAGTGTTCGGTTTCGTTCAGGAGTGTATGAGTAACAAATTTAATGGCTGGACCTTTAAAGTCTTCTCAAAGGGAGAGAAGGAAGTAGTAATTAAGTCGGTGATAACAACTCTACCAAACCTTGTCATGTCTTGTTACATAATTACAACGAAGGTTATTTCTAAATTAACAAGTACAGTGTCACAATTTTGGTGGAGTCCGGGAGGAAATACAAGAGGTATGCACTCGATATCTTGGGATAAGTTGTGTACATATAAGGAAGATGGAGGGTTAGGATTCAAGGATCTCTAGGATTTTAATACGGCCATGTTAGGTAAACAATTGATCTGGAGGTTGACAGAAAAGCCGGACACGCTATTTTCTAGAGTATTCAAAGGAAGGTATTTCAGGAATACATCACCCCTGGAACAGGTGAGCTCGTACTCGCCTTCTTATGCTTGGCATAGTATTGTTTCTGCTAGATTTTTGGTTGGTAAATGACTAATTAAATGGGTGGCATCATGATCTTCTATCTCAGTATGGAATGATCCTTGGCTCTCAACCACTCGCCCGAGACCAGTAAACTCAACTCACCAAAATCTCTATCCATATCTCACGGTGGATCAGCTTATCGATCCTAATACTCGGAAATGGAACTCACATGTAATAAGGAATTTGGTGGACACAGCGGAAGCAGAGATAATTGAGAGTATACCTCTAAGTAAATATCGCCTGGTTGATCAGGATGGATGGCATTTCATAACTAATGGGAAATATACAGTAAAATCAGGGTACCAGGTGAAAAGGTTATACCCAGATAGTGAAAAGGCCCCGGTAATGTATGGACCTTCAGTAACTTTATTAAAATCCCACTCATGGAAGATTAGATGCCCCCCAAAAATGAAACATTTTCTTTGGCAGATTGTGACGGGTTGTATATCCGTGCTGAAAAAATTAAGGTGTAGGGGGTCTGAAAGGAGACATACATTGCGAGAGATGCGGAGCTAGTGAAGAATCGGTTAATCGTGTACTTTTTGAATGCCCCCAGCGGTACAAGTATGGGCTCTATCCAAGATCCCTTCAAATCCGGATGTATTTCCAACTCAAACTTTATTCACCAACATGGATCCCCTATATTGGAGGGTAAAACCATAAATGAACGATCACCAGTTTGTTTGGATTTTATGGTATATTTGGAAGGCAATGAATAATAAGGTTTTTAGTTATATAGATGTGAATCCCAATGATATGTTGCAGCTGGCAGATACTGGATTGCTATTATGGAAGGAAGCTCAGGAATCAATAAAGCAAAGTACTCAGATCAAACAAGTGACTGGCGAGGCCAGTTTACCACAACTCTCTGGTCGGTGGTACTTTACCGATGGGTCTTGGAAGGATCATAATAAGTTCTCGGGTCAGGGTTGGTATAGTACCCTTCTGGGATTTAGGGAACTAATGGGAGCAAGGAATACGAGTAAAAGTATATCTCCACTGCATGCGGAGATGAAAACTCTTATCTAGGCCATGGAAAGTATGATGAATTTGCGTCAATTTCATGTCAGTTTGCTACGGATTGCATTCAATTGGTGAAGATGGTTTTTGCACAAGAGGAATGGCCTGTCTTTGCAAATTACTTGGACGATATAAAGATTCTTCAAGAAAGTTTCACTCATTCAGAGATCATCCATATCCACAGAACGCCGAATACCAAGTTCGACAAACTAGCACGCAGTGCCAAGAAGCAGTCGTCTTATGTTGTTTCATATCGATGCTGAGTTACCAGTTTGGTCGCCTGTCTAATGTTGCCAACAAAAAAAAAAAAATATATATATTTCCTCTCCATTTTAGGTCTTGTGATTTTGACTCATACCGATCGTTAATCTGAATAATTCGAGTCTTGCGAATAAAATTAATTGAAATCACCTTTTCTTAGATCAAAATATTTATTTAACAAACACGTATCGTTGATCCGATATAGCTCTTTTTTCTTTTCTCAACTCCACAATTTGTATTTTCTCTCTTTCTCATCAACTCAGGCCAGAGAGCATTTAGAGCAGGCAACGGTTTTAGTGGGTTGAACTGCACGAGAACTTGCATTTCAATCATCATCCGTCTTATCTCTTAACGTTGTTGTTTAAAGAGCAAAAATATATCATCAATATAACTCGTAGACCATTATGAAAAGAGGTTCATGATCATGACTCACATTTTGCAATTGGTCGGATATATGACCATGATAATCAACATAGCCTATATAACTTGCAAGTAGATTTAGGTCATGTTTGTTTTTGTATCTAGATGCAATATCCAAATGTTCGTTTAAACACTATTTCATTTCACAATATCATTTTCCTCTTTTTTTCTCTCTCGTGTGGGGTGATTTCCGGTTAATCGGTTCAATATCGGTTATTTCCTTTTTTTTAACAAACTGTATTTCCCTCGTCAGTGAGTAGAGTCAATTACCGATCATTGGGCTACGGTTTATTTTTCAGAAAGTTTCTTTTTCTTTTTATTGGTATCATTCTTGATTGAGAAAATTTATCATCTTCCCTTTTTTTATTCTGAAACTTTCCTTCACCACTCAACGTATTCTCCAAGCTTTTCTTTTACGGTGATATCCCAAAAAATAATAGTAGAATTTAGCCTTATTCACGGAGAATTTTCTTCTATTACGGTTGATCTTCTTCCCTAAGTTTATCACGCTCAACCTTGCGCCACAGCTGAGAATTCTAAGGTCCTCTCATCAATGGCTGATATGTTGCAACGTGCTACCCGATCTATGTCCCTTAACGATGAAGAATTCTTGGTGCTCCCAGATAACCCTCAATACACAATGATCTACTCGAGTGAAACAAGCTTGCTAGGCCGCCTCTTGAATCCTGACTGCCAGTCAATGTCCCGTATGATTGAGTACATGCCAACGGCATGGCAAGAGGTGGGGAGAGTCAGAGGTATTGCTTTATCCCGTGACAGGTTCCAGTTTATTTTTCAACGTGAGGAGGATGTCCAAACGGTTCTGAAGGACAGACCTTGGTCTTAAAGGGCTATGATCTTGGAAAGGTGGACCTCTTCACCCCCTGATGACTTTCTCTCAACGATGGACATTTGGATCTGTATAAAGAACATTCCGGTCAACAACTTCACTACCCAGACGGTGCAT